TATTGTTATCGTCCACTATCTGTTTTTCTCATTTCTTCTCCCTTTCAGTCCTCAATGTGGGTGGCCTTTGCTGAGTCCACACAGTCCTGATCCTTCATCGCTGTGTGATAATTAACTAGAGATCGTTTTCATGTCGTCCAGGAAAACAAGGGCCATAAAATGTTTTGTCAGCTCCAGAGTGGCGCAAAATTGCATGGCCATTTCATCCTCCAGGTGCAAGCCTACTTCGGCTCCAATAGAAGCAGGCAATCGTGACCAGTGAAAGCAGCCCCAGTCAAAGTGGTGTCTGGCTAAAAGAGGCAGGCTTCCTAATGAGAGCTCTTCAGTGTAGCAGGGGAATGTGCTGTAATATCCGATCTCAGCCAAAGAACAGCCACTATAGATCACTGCTGCTACAGTATGGAGAGTGATTAAACAGCATGGCCTCCGAGAACCTCCAAACTGCTTCACACACGCCGTGTTTTCATTTGCAAACTTATCAATGTGATTATGTCACAGGCCAACAAGACAAAGTGTTGTAAAAGAACACACATGACCCACAAATCAATGGTGCATGTGGTAAGCATGCACAGGATATGCAAATTTAGCATTGTCTTGTGCATTTTAAGGTATAGTTCACCCCAAAAAATGAACATTTTGTAATTCATTATTCACCTACATGTCGTTCCAAACCAATTAGCTGCCATTTCTGTTTGTGAAATGCAGAATGAAAACTTTTTGAACATACTTTACTCAGAATTTTTGCTGAATCTTTATTTTTTTCCCCATACAACAACAATTCGTAGTGTCCACATCTATCCGAAAAAGAAAAAAAGTATGATTAAAATTGATGGATATTGATGGATAATTGCTTTAAAGCTGTGAAATGCATGCATGATTCATGACTTCAGAATAGTATCTATAGTATCTATTTGCAAGCAGGACAAGTTTAGGCAAGTTTAGACATCTGTGTTTGTGCAGTGTATTTTTGTTTTCCAGTAGTAATCTGAAGAGATTACGTCTTATCTTCTTGAAGGTAACTTTCCCCAGAGCTGTCAATGATTCCAGCAGCGTGTTTCTCTTTCATTCATAGAGCAAATAGTAAGCACCACTTGTGGATCTCTTGGGTTGAGTTGCGGTCTGACCAAACATCTGTGGTTTGGTAAATTATATGATTGAGATTGTGTTGTTGTTTTATTTAACCATATGAAATCTGATTTTGATTTTAAATGACAAATTATTTCCACTCCTTTGAAGTAAGTTTTTAGATCATCATTCTCCTAACTACTTCAAGCAGCGAGCAGCTGCACAGAGGGCTTAGCATTATGAGATGCATCTCTTTGATTTCTTTTGAAGGTATACAGCGAATACTATAATGCGATTTTTCCAGCATCTGGGCTGAAAGAGAGGAGTACCTTCAGAAAAACTAAGGAGGATGAGTGTGCTCCTCTATAGAGCTCAATTACAAGCACCAGAAAAGACAGACTTGTATATCTCACTCTTCCACATGTTTGTTTCAAAGTCCAGCTGCATTGAAGTGCAGACCACATTGTCTGTACAAAAAACATTCAGATTTTCATTCCATAAGTGATAAATGCTAAATGTTTATTTTCCTATTCAACATGAAGATATTAATTCACACTTTAAATTAGCTTGCTGACAGAAAAGAAATAATACTGTATGCCTCTTGTATGATTTTTAGTTTCTGAATTAAAATGAATTTTTTTTTTCTTTTGTAAGTCAAAATATCAGGGTGATACACCTGTCCTTATATCTCAATGAAAAAAAAAACGTATTAAAAGAATGATATTCTGTATTTTTAAATTATATATTTTAACTGCTTTACTGCGTATTAATATTTGAGAAATGTTTGTCTGCTAAAAATCGAAGGTTTTACATGACAATGTAAAAAAACACGGAAAAAAAAAAGCAGGAAATGACATCATAGAGAGGACCCCTGCAGACCCTCATGACTCTGTCAGATAAGGTTAGTTCAGTTTGTGGGAAGTGATATGGTGTGACTCCCCCCAAAATCTGATATTTATGAATAAATAATTCATTGCAAAAAATAATTCATTGCAAAAAAAAACGTATAAACTTTTCAAAACCATGTTCACACAGAGCATTTTTTTGTGTATTCCACTGCACTACTTTTCCAATGTTTTGCATGTAAACATGCTGGATGGATGTTTTTGACTGTTGCACTCACTTCTTGTGTGTTTTGCAGCATCTTGTGTATGACATACCTTCTAAAATCACAGCACTCATGTTAAAATACGTTCAACAAAAAACGTGCCTCATGTTTTTTAATGCAAAAACACATTCTGCGTGAATGGCGCCTTTTGTGTCATTAACCCGTATGGTAATTTGGGAATGAAAAGAAACTCTGGACAGATGAAAACCTACGAGTGTTGATAGAAACCAACCCATTATGATTTCAGGAAGTGAAACTGGTCACATTTATACCCAGAGATTTTGGCTGCTTTAGTGTTTGGTTACAGTCTTGTTTAACTGCCCTTGTGCTTCCTGAACATTGTCAGTGTTGCACGCTCCCACCTTATTGACTTAAGAGTGAAAGGTTTGGAGCTGCAGCGTTTTCCCACACTACTGTGGGGTATCCCGCATGGGAATAGTGATGATGTCATGAGCTACCACAAATTCCAGCACAGAGGCTTGAAAAATATTGTTATCGTCCGAAAACACCAAGACAGGATGGTGCTGTGACGGATTGCAACGTTTGAGCTCCAGGTTTTTTTAGTTACTACGCATATGCGACTATGAAATTTCATTTGAGTGCTGTCTTCTTGTGCCATGTCTTTGTATGCTGCCGTATTTATAAAAAGTTTTATGTCTGCAGCTTTATTTTTAAGAATGATCTTCTCTGAGTGTTTTTAGTAATGCACAAAAGCTCAGGTTGCTCAAATAAATGATTATGATTTCACAGACAAACAGCCTCGCTGTAAATTCGTAATGTAGCCACAAGACATTGATGGCTAAATTGATACTTACTCGATTTAATGGGCAAAATATCCTTTCCTCGTTGTGGAAGCCAAGCCAACGGTCTACCTCAGGAGTCACTGTGGCTGTTAAGGATAGCAGCAGTACTCTTTTAGCTTTGCTCTGCCTCTCCACAACAAACATGTCTTAGAAAAACACAGCCACAAGACCACATTGTGGGCCAAGATCTTCCAGCTCCTGCCTTTTGGGGGTTGGCTCAGACTCCGCATGCAGTTCTAGCAAAGTGTCCTCTGGCACTCGGCAGTTCTCACACCACTGAGGCTCTCTGACCCATATTTGACTGTTTGGGAAGTCTGCAGCTGGAGGAGCTTGTGGGGTTTTAGAGCCTCATGGTGGAGCTGATTAAGTCGAATATACCTGAACCAGCTGTGAGGCTTTCCGCAAGTTTGTGTTCCTGCAGGCGGAAAGTTAAAGCGGTGTAAAGGATCTGAGAAGCATATGTGCAGACAGAGGTTTAAGGGTTGATCTGAGTCGCGATTAAAATGTTTTTGTTAACCCGAGCCCCATAAGTGGCTGGGTCAATAACAGGAAGATATTTATTTATTTGTTTTTAGAAAGAAAGGGAGTTAAGGACTAGTAATGCAGACAGATAAGCGTATTACCGTACCTCCCCCTCTGCCTCCCCAATTGATCCTGTGCTCCCTCCACCTCCATTCTCCGTCGCTCTATTATTGGCGTTTCATTGTGAGGTGAAGATAAATAGAATGAAAGAGGAAATGCATTGTATGGGACGAGGGGGTCTTGGGTCATTTGGGTGGTCCATTCCCAGCCTGATCCCAGCACAGATGATGACTAGAGTTTTGCGCTGTTTCAGCTGAGTCTTGCACTTCATGTACCTGGAGGGTTGTATTACAGTCATGACGAGTGCCGAGAGCACACTTTGTACTCTACCTAGAGTCAAATTACAATAGCCATCCTTTCTTACCATCTAATCGTTGGTGCTTGAGGATGAAAGGGGACAGTTTGTTTCACATGAAATCGCTTAAATTAAATGCACTGAGTGCTTATCGCCTTATATAATGGCAAACACTACAACTGTCTTATAAACACTCATTCCAAAGTAATTTTCCATCTCTCAGCTATAAATATTTAAAAGTGTTAACGTAGGTAGAGGTAAGCAGGATTCTTTTAAAGGTATAACGTCTTTTCTTTATACTAAAGGGTTTTGTGTTATATATTTGTGATATAAAGATATTACAGAAAAAGTGTGCACGTTCAACTCAAGCCAGGAACTGAAGCAGGACTCAAACTAGCTACTTAGCAGTTCTATAATAAAGTGCTAATATATAATAAAGTGATAAATGATGACAGTTCCTGTCATGTTTTGTTGAAGTATATAGAAAGCATCTGAGCAATTTATCTGTTCACCAGTGTCTGGTGAGCTTGTAATCAAACTTTTTTCTTTAATAAAACATTTGAAAACCTTATTGAAACATACAGCATGTACCCTACCATTCAAAAGTTTCAGTGGCGGTAAGTTTTTTTTTAAAAATGTTTTTAAAAGAAGTCTCTTATCCTCACCAAGGCTGAAACATTTAGAAATGTTTTATGATGTTTTTATTATTATTATTATTATTATTATTATTATTATTATTATTATCATGAATGTTGAAAACATGCTGTTTCTCTTCTCTTCTCTTTTATTTTATTTTTAATTTAATTTAATTTTTTCTATTATAATTTATTTATTTTGTTTTTTATAGAAACCGTGACACTTTATTTTCAGGATTCTTTAATTAATAGAAAATTCAAAACAATATTTATTTTCAATTTTTGTAACATTATAAATTTTACTTTGGTTAATTTAATGTGTCCTTACTGAATAAATGTGTTAATTTCTTACTGACCTCAAATTTTTGAATGGTAAGGCCCCATAACCTTTTATTCAACTACAATTTTAAGAATGCAAGCATCGTGGGGTTGGGTTTCACTAAACACCTTATAATTTACATCCTGCATAAGAGTTTAAAAACATACTAATAGCCCTTGTTTATGTTTTCCAGGGACTTAAAGCCTGATGAGACGTACACCTACCATGTGCTGACAGTGTCTAGAAAAGCAGAGAGTGAACCATCTCCTCCTCTCTCTCACCAGCTGGGCTCACCCTACTGTGGAGATGGACTCATCCAAAAGTGAGTTCACTCTCTGAACTCTCACTGCATTCCATATATAAATATAATGGAAATGAAAAACATATCCTTGTGTTTATTGCAACCACTGTGGGTGACAATGGTTACAGCCATGTTATGAAAATAGATAAAGTTTTGTGAATAAAACAATCAGTAATGGACATAATTGACAGAATGACTAATTGAATTGACTTTGTAGCAAAATTGTATAAGATTGTTTACAGAGGCTGTATCTTGAATGAAATGCATTTTGTCTTGCTCCATTTTTCTTGTTTTGAGAAAAAGCCTTATTTTATTTCTTATTTTGGTAAAAGCTGTTTTGAACCATGTAAAAAGTAAAAAGTAAATTTTTTATTTATTTAAAAGCAGCCTTGTGGCAGCAAGGTTATTTGTGTGATTTAACTCTTTTGATGACGTATGCGTGTATACCTTTCAGATACCTTGGAGAGCAATGTGATGACATGAACTTCGCTAATGGAGACGGCTGCTCAAACCAGTGCAAGAAGGAGCCGTTGTTCAACTGTGTTGGTATGTGACCGTAATCTATAGGTAGAAATGTTAAAGGAGTAGTTAAAATGTAAATTAAGTCATTATTTACCCTCTTGTCATTCCAACCCATATATACAATTTTTTTCTGAGGAAAACAAATGTAGAATTTTTGGAGAATCTTGGCCCAGCTCTTTTCTAAACAGTGACGGTTCATACTATATATATATATATTCTTTTTTAAGTTTTTTGTTTTTTCGCTTTGCAGACTTGGTCAGACATTGTATAGAAAACATAGACACTGTATGTGTCATTGTATGGAAAAGAGCTGCATAACAATTATTCAAAATACCTCGTTTTGTATACGGCAAAAGAAAGAATAAAATAAAAATAATAATGTGTGTTTGGAATGACATGAGAGTGAATAAATAATGAGAAAATGTTAATTTTAGGTTGAAAGATTTCTCAATGCTTTTTTTATTGCTATTTCAAAAGCAAAGTACAATAAAGTAAAAGTATAAAGTGTAGCATCAGTTTGATTGATGTTTTGCTCCAACAGCATTTAGCTGTATTGCTGATTACTTCTCAGTGCTCTATTGATGTCAGTTCTGCCCGGTTGCCCAGCCATCAATCTCATGGCTTCAGCCTGTCATCAGTGTCACAGTGTCCTACACTGACAATGTGTGAAAGACCAAGAAAGTTCTGTTGTACTATCCCTTTATAGCACAAAACTTGTTAGCTGGTTGTGATGTTAATGGAGTGCTTTAAGTTGTAAGCTGATCAGTTCTGTCAAAACAATTGGCCACATAATTGGACCCTCTTAGGGACATTTAAGTCCCCTCACAAAAGACTTTACTCTTTGCTGTAGAGCTCTAAGATCTGCCTAACGAGCACTAGCGAACTATTGTGTCACTTCTTCCTGTTAACAGTAATGCAACAATCCCCTTTTCTTCTAAACGTGTGGACAGAAAGCTGGAGTGGAGTAAAAAAAGACAGAGAGAAGAAAAGGAGGCAGCAAAGAAGAACAGATAAGAAGGGCTTTTGAAGTTCGCTGTTGAATGTAGCCAACATTCATCTAGCTGAAGTCTTGTCTGACCTCTAGGACACCTCTGGAAGTCTGAGGTTGCACTAGTACCTGACAGTGCTTAATTGGCAGTTCCGCTTTTTTTGGAGTAGGTTCAATGAGTTCATCCTTCACTGCCTTAAAGGAACAGTTCAGAAAAAAAATGGGGAAAAAAATGCAAGGGAAAAAAAGAGAAAAAGCAACATAAACGTCAAAGAGAAATCATGTTCTCTGTTCATGAATGAATCTTTTTTTTTTTTCGTTGTAGCTTTTCAACAGTGCCTTGACAGTGTACGCTTTCATTACGTGATGTAGCCTATTACAGTGTCCTCAAAATTCAAGATATGAGGATAAAAATACCCCTGTATCAGTTTTTGTCTTGTATTTAATTCATATGATATATACTCCCCAAAATGAAGCATTCACAAGGGCCTTTCACAGCAGTGCCATAGAAGAACCATTTTGGGTTCCTAAAAGAACCTTTTAGTGAATAGTTCTTTTTTTTATTGTATGTTTATTTAGATAATCAATAACATACATTCACATATCAACACAACTAACAACACAACATGCATACAGACATTGTGCTTTTACATTGTGTGCATATAAACAAAGACAAGAAAGAGAAAATAACATCAGTAAATCATAAGCAAAACCTGACAGCATCAGCATCAGTTTATCCACTTGCAATTATACTTGGTTTTGTAAATAATTTATGAAAGGACACCATATGGCAGTGAACTTAGACCCAGAACCCTTTAAATTAAGTCTTATTTTTTCCAAACTCAGGAATTGTAACACATCTCTGGCCCTCTGTTTAAAAGAAGGGGGAAATGACTGTTTCCAATTAATTAAAATCAAGCGCCTTGCCAAAAGAGAAGTAAAGGCGATGCAGTCCAATCACTTTTTGACAAAGTGTTATTTTCACATACAATACCAAAGATGGCAGTTAAAGGATTTGCACAAACATCTTTACAAAATATTCTAGAATAAGATAAAAAAAAAATATGAATATGACAGACTAGGAGTGAATAGTTCTTAAAATATATATTTTTTCTTATTGTGAAGAACATTTTAATAATCTAAAGTACCTTTTTCCATTGCAAAGAAACTTTATTGCAATGGAAAGATTCCATGGATTATATGCCGACTTGCGCATATGATCCGCTCCGTGCGATCGTGTCTCTGGACCGGAGCCAAAGTCCAGATCAGACTGCGCGCTGCCACGGTTCGCGTGAAACAACGTGAAACCAGACCTCATTTTCACCAATTGAAAGCATATTTACACTGTCTGAAACAAGTTAATATTTTAAACAAAGCCACAGCAGAACAGTTGCAACGCGGCGTTTTGTATTTGGTTCCTGAAAGAATCTGCATTTTTGAATGAATCAGGTGAGTCAATAGTCCCTTTCACACAGTAATACCAATAACTTGCCGTAAAATTACCGGAATGACTTTACCGGTAAATACAAAAATGCGCAGTTCACATGAGCAATGACGTTCCGTCTTTTTACCGGTAAAGCACCATTCACACATCGGTTTCAAATTACCGGTAAATTCTGTGACATCATTAACCGGAAATGACCTCTAAATGGCTGCGTGTCCCGGTGTTGTGTTTGTAAACATGGAGGGGTAAACGCGGTCAGTGTTTTTGTTAATGTTTTCATTTTTGTGTCAAACGTTTACATTCATGCAGCTTATTTTGGCCCAGAGACATCCTATCAGACGACTTCAAATTGAACTACACAGCGCAGAGTAAATGCGTCATCTGTATCAGAATGTTATGATTGGCGTTCTGAACTTGTACGTGCTCATACCGGTAATCTTCATTCTGCAGACATGTAGTTGCAAATTAATGAGAATTAGTTGACATGTAGTTACAGAGTTACTTATAGTTAATAGAATGTCTAAAGTGGACTATCGAAATAAAGTGTAACCTAATGTTTTATTTCTTTTCATATTATTCCTATTGCTTTATTTATTTAGCTTTCATTCGCATTAGCAATTTTCTTCTTCTTTTTTAAGATATGTTGTTATAATTTTAAACTGTTAAAATGCCAACAAGTTATTACTTACCTACAGAAACTGTATTTATTTGCAAATTATTCAGACTGTGTAAATGTAATTTATTTGGCTGGTCGATAATGTGTAATTTATTTAGCAAATATTCAAATTAGCATTAAGTTTTTTTTTTTACTTTTAATTTGTCAACATATACAGTAAGTGAGTTAATTTAATCATTTACGTACCCACACAGTTATTAATGTATATATACTGTATATATACTGTAGATAATTGCTTTGAAGTAGATGGGTGGAGGGTTTCTATTGAAGTCGTCCACCACCTGAAACTGTCTGAGAAGCACTGGGATAAAGTTAAGGACATGAATAACTGCTACCAGCTTCAAACAGTCTGCTGATCTCAGCATTTGAAATGGGCTTTTGATGCAGTGGTTCAGTATTGCTCTCATACCAGTTCATCTCTATCTCTCTCCTCTGAAGATGAGCCCAGCTTGTGTTATTTCTACGACGGTGATGGTGTGTGTGAGGACTTTGAGCGGGAGGCGAGCGTAAGGGACTGTGGTCTCTATACCCCGAGCGGCTTCCTGGATCAATGGGCCACTGCGATGCAGGTGTCCAATGAGGAGAAGATACACTGTCCAGCGGAGGTGGCTGTTGGATATCCTGCAGTGACTAAGGTGAGTATGCTTAAAGAGGCACGTTTACAAGCATACCCACACATACGATGTGTAGGATGTGTTAAAGACCCCATGAAATGTTGATGACATCATGTCAGTCTTAGTGTTATTTATAGACCATTATAGTTTGTTTGATTTTGAAAACTTTGAATGTTTTGAACTAACTTTTATTTTTATATTTTTAGTTTTCTTTTTAATTCAAGTTTAATTTTTAGTCATGTTATGTTCTTTTATTATTTAGCAGTTATTATTTATGAACACAAGTGGCTCTTTTGACTATGAAGAACACAGAAAAATCTCAGATCTAAAATATTATATATGTCAGACTGAACTGCAGTTTTTCACAATAAATGGCTGAGAAGCAGATTCTGTTAAAGAGAGATTTGAGACATTGCTCTAACCCTTCACACATGGAAGTAGTAAAGAATTGGCTCTTTCTGAGGGACGTCTAAAAAAACTGTGTTGTTTTACTCCCTGGATATTTCAACATGATACATTTGTAATTTTACAGTTTTATTGGCCACATCTCCTCCTCCTCTCCCCCACTCTCGTGATGTTTGTGGAGTTCGAGTTTCCTGCGCCCGAAATCGTGCAAGCTCCTGAATTAATCATGTCACAAAACTATTACATTCATGCTGTGCGCAACCTAAGAATTTATGGCACTGAGAAATGGCCATTTTTCACAGTTGAGCTTGAACCTCATTGTTGGGAGAAAATGCGTATTGTGGCTCATAATGGGAAACGATGGCACATAGGTTACAATGACTTTGAATAGTTAGTCTTGCCGATACACCTTTGTGTGGAGTTTGAACTTTCGCTTCACAGTCTCACAAGTATTTTATATGAATGTAAACCAAGGCCTCGTTCAGCTTGGAAACAGACTTGCAGCTTAAGTGAATCAGTTGGTGATCGATGTTAGCGGCGCGCTGTATCAGAATGACTAAATGCTTTTTCACTTATTGTGTGACGCAGCGGCCAACAGAGATGCAGAACGGACTGCGTACAGTAGTGTACTTGAATCAATGGAGGGGAGGTGGAGGAGCGGGGAACAGTGTCACTGAGGATACTGTGGCGTGCTGAGAGAGAGCGATAAAGAGAGAGAGAGAGGAATCTCATGAGACTAAGCGAGGAGTGCAGAAACGAATATCCTCTCATTCTCTTTTTTTCACCCCATTTCTCCCTTTCTAAGTCTCTTTCAAGCATTACATCAGAATTCTCTAGTTTTGCGGCTAATTTTGTAACCGTTTCATTCAAATTTTATAAGGCATTTAGAGATGAAAAAGATGTTATGAATCCCCCTGCTCCAGTCAGCTGTCTCCCCGCAGAACTGTCTTAGAGTAGTGAATGAAGTGAATTGCCGGTCTCTCGGTCTAATTCATGTAATATTACATCACCTCTAGATCTGTGAACTGTAAGATGATTACACTTTGAGAGACAAATTCATTTCTGTCCAGAAAGATTATGTCCATGTACAATGTAAGAACAACTGCTGATTTTAAAAAAATTAAGGAAAAAAAAGCTATTACTGGCAGAAATAACTGCATGATATTAAATTATACTGCACTGCAAAACTCATTGTTTATCAGTATGTTGACTTGTTTTCCATAAAAATATCTAAATGCACAATTTACATGAAAATAACACAAAAAAAATCTTTATTTCACTCTTTTATGTATATATATATTTTTTTATATATATATTTTTTAAATATATAAATATATTTATATATTTTTATTTAATATATAACTATAATACGTATATAAGTATATAACTATAATAACAAAATGATATATATATATATATTATTTTGCTATTATAGTTAACTAAAACCATAAAAACATGTTTATTACTATTTTTAACTGAAAACAATTATTTTATATTTTACTTTACATATTTTATTTCAGATAGTAGCCAGGGCAACATGTGTGATTTTTATTTAGTTTAACTACTAAAAATTGCAAAAGCACACAACAACATTACTAAAACTTTAAGTTTATAATGAAAACAGAATAAAAATAACAACTAATTCAAATATATCTCGATCAGTGATATTTTAGTATAATTTATATATACTGTATACATACACATATAACAAATAATTTGCTAATGAGGTGCAAAAAATAAAAGATAAAAGTATGAAGGGGAAATGAGGTCAGCGTAAAAGCCAGACAGTAACCGGCACACCGGTACTGCTGCCCGAGCAGAAAATACCCTCTGCATATCACCCCAAAAATCCTGGGGACGTCTATTGTGCAGGTTTAGGAGACAGCTTAAGCGAAAGCACTGCTGTCCTGATCTGCTCCCGCTGCTGTTACACATACACAAACATTGAACACATGATTAGTGCCATTCACTCGGTGAGGAAGCGTGCAGCTCTCCAGTGTCACCTAGCGTTGCAACACTGTCACCCCACATTTGGGTTCAAGGGGTTCAGTGAGGTTCTCTGTCACATTATTCTACAGTGAAATGAAATACACTAGATGCTATTCACCGTGAAACAAGGGCGAAGAGTTTAGAAGACTTGGACTAGCAGTTAAAATACCACTAGAAAGGCATTTAGATCAGCATTTAGCTAAAATGGTCTATTAAAAACAGGCTTTTACATGAAAACTGGGTGAATTTTCCCTTTGAATATAGACTTGAGGGAAATGAGGAAAAAAATTAATGGGTCAATAAATAAAAAGCTGCGTAGAAAAACGTGTGTATTTACTTAAGTGTGTATTTACTTGAGTATAATTTTTTGCTCTGCCCTGAAAAAAAAAAGAAGTAATAATTAAAAAATCTAATTTTCAGCTTTTTCATTGATATAATTTCCTAAGCTGCCTTTAATGTCAGAAAACTGTTACTGGCAATGTACAGTACTTCCTTTTGAACCAACTTGACCCTCCCTGAAGGCTTGTATGATTGGTGAACTTCACTCTCACACAGAGAGTCAAACCTCTTCATGGGAGTAATTCTGAAACTCAACAGTTCAGGCCAGTTTTGATCTCATAGTTCCCAGAAGAGAGTGGTAGGTCAGTTCACCCTTTTCACCCAGATTTCACTGGCTTTTAGAAGGATCTGGAGTGGCACCTTAACCTTAACCTAATTTTGAGCTTCCAGATGGTCTAATTTCCCTTTTCATAGTGGACTGCAGGCTTGTAGCCTCATCATTACATCATTACTCTGTTTTAGTGCCTTTATGTTTGCAGTCCAAAAATATGCTGTAAAGTTTGAAGTTGGTAAGATTTCTTTGTTTTTGAAGGAAGTCTCTTATACTCACCAAGGCTGCATTTATTTGAAAAAATACAGTAAAAACAGTAATATTGTGAAATATTATTACAATATAAAATTACTGTTTTCTATTTTAATATGTTTTAAAATGTCATTTATTCCTGTGAAGGCAAAGCTGAATTTTCAGTTTAATTTACTCCAGTCTCCAGTCTTCAGTGTCACATGATCCTTTAGAAATCATTCTAATATGCTGATTTGCTGCTCAAGAAACATTTCATATTATTATCAGTGTTGAAAATTCTTACTGGCCCAAACTTTTGAATGGTAGTGTGTGTATACACACACACACACATATATATATATATATACACACACACACACACAACACATTTGTATTGGCCACATTCAATAAGTAACTAAGGAAGAGGAAAAACAGTAAATATCTCATATGTTTGTTTGCTTAGAGCTGTCAGTCGAAGGTGTTTGACCTGTCACATGACGTGTCTCAGTACGCTTGGTTTCCTTGTGAGGAGTCTCAGCAGCACAGCTGGACTTCACAATTTTGGCTGAAGGTAAGAGCTTGATAATGTATCTTTTTGGTTTCAGTTGAACAGATTGATGTCATGTCACATCAGGTGCATAAATCTATATGATCATGTGACTTACCATGATTTCACCAAGTAGTAAATATTCCTGAAACAACATTCTTATAAACCAATCAGATTTTAGGGTTAGGGTTTGAAACTAAAACAACTTTATTATCAATCTACAGGTTTCAAGTAGTCATGGGGAACCTATGTATTTTAGAGAATTTTAACATTTTGATATACATTTTTCTGCTTGAATACTATTTGTAAGCACAATTTCAATAAAATGATTTTTTTTTTTATCTATGTCCAGTAATCACAAATGACTGGGAAAGTCAGGGGAAATTCATTGGTCGATAGGTGAACCTCATTTCCCTAAAAGTTTAAGAGTTAGGACAAAGATTGGGGTTAAAAATAAGTTTGTTATTGTGTTTGATCAATAAAAGATTTTGATCCAGAAGCACATGCTACTTGGTAAAGTTACAATTTTCAATTAAATGAACTGACTGTCAGTGAGGTTTTTTTTATTTTGTTTTGTTTTTTTCTCCCAAAAGGCCTATTACGCCCATCCTATGGTGGCTGCCGCAGTCATTATACATCTGGCTGCTGAAGGAACAGCCGACATCGACCAGAGACAACACAACATTACTGTTCAGCTGCTGGACACTAAGGAGCAAACCCACCCTCTCGGTCAGTCTCAGCCCAATCTCGATAACATTTGAACACACTTTTTACCCCAAGCTGTATGTTTCTAGAAAATTAAAGTGGAAGGTGATTTTTGTACTGTATATTTTTTTGCCACGGCTGGATGGTTTTAGGGGACTGGAGGCTGAGCTGCCGGAATAATCCACTGGTGATTCCTGTGAGTCATGACCTGAGTGTGGCCTTCTACCGGACAAAAGCCATTATAGTGAGCTTCAGCTCTCCTCTGGTGGCCATCTCAGGTGTTGGTCTGCGCTCCTTTCAATATTTTGACCCCATCACTATAAGTGGCTGCCAGAGCAATGAAATCTACAACCCCATGGGCCAAAGGTGAGGAGATAAATCTACCATTGCTCCCTCTCATGTCAGTGTAGAGGCTAAATGTTTTGCCAGTCCACAGTGCATAGATGTGGTCTTAGATCTGTAATTATAGTATTTGAATTTTTTTTGTGTATCATGTTATGATGTCTATTGCAGTAGTGATAAGTTTTGAAGATATGTTGATGACACGTTTATTTAATCCTCTATTGCACATTGTTATTTAATAAATCCATTTTCTTCACTTTGCAAGCACATGATGCATAAAAGATGGCAATAAAATGATTAATAATAAAGGGATGTCTTTGAAAAAAAAACAATAAAAGCCTTTTCTTGGTCACGCTATATCCTTACAGTCAACAGCAAAGCTTTTGTTTTTCACCCATTAAATACGATTAACAATTGTTAGTGAGAAAATTTTTAAACTTTATTTTAAACACATTTATAGTGATAGAAATTATTTGTTTGGTATGAGAGATTGCATAGATTTGTTTTCTTGTTAAATAAAATTGTGCAACAGTGGAAAGGATTCAGATACACTACTATAGAGTAAATTCTGATGCATATTTTGTGTTTTTTATTTAGATTTTTATTAAGTAAAAATTTTAAATATAGTTTAAGCTAGAGGCCAATGTTAAATTCTGTTTTTGTTCAATTCAAGTCTTTGATTAAGTCTTCTGATTAATTTATTTCCATTGTCGCATGGATTTGCTTTCATAAGGCAAGAGTGTTAAAGTAAACCAATTGTCTGTTCCCTGTCAGTCGGTCACTCCCAGTCACGTCTGTGACCGACGAATTGGGATCTCGCTTAGAGAGACCAATCCACTTCGAGTGTAAACTAAACGAGCCAATGCACATTGGCATGCGATGATTGCATCCAGCTACCGCTGATCACAGCGTGAGCCTAAAAAGGCAGCCTTTGCAACACACCAGCTTTTTGCTTCGGAGCCGAGCGACAACATCGTTCTGCTCCTACCAAACTGCTTCGTGTGTGACGAGTCTAGCGTGCTCTCGGGAGCTTTTTGTGTTGGCAGATGGCGCTTCAGCGGTGGTCGTTCCTGTGTCGAGTGGGTTGCGCACTTCAGGCTGCACTACCCCCTGTCGTGCTGCAAACGGCCGTTTCCCTGTGCGTCTCAGCATGTAAAAGAGCATTTTCCTAAAAGAGCCAATTTCTCTAAAAGAGTACAATAAGCGAGACCTTATTGTATCTTTGTAAAGACGACGGATTGTCTTTTTAAAGATGCCGTTTCACCTGTGC